TACCTAATTACGATTTTTCTAGTTTGATCTTCATAGCCGGGGTACCATTTGGGGTGTCGCATGGTATACATTGGCAGCCCTATTTTTCCCCGTATAATATTGGCCTGCCTTAATTTCATGCTGGCACCGTTTCCTGATGTAACAGTTAAATTGAATTAATTAATTAATATAAGATAAATATATTTTATAAATAATGGGATATACATAGATTTACTTAGATGATCAAGATATTTTTTGGAATACAAAAAATGTGTATAATTGCTTAGCTTTTGTATTGGATACGCTTTTGATTCTATTATTAACCACATTCTTATTTTATTTTTTAAATATTATTCACAATGGCCAGTCAGATTTTTATTTTTATACTTTAATTATGTATTTGTATTTATTAACTTAATTTGAATCACAATTAGAATTTTCTGAAAAAAATAAAGAATTGTTCAAGATYTTTGAAATTGTCGAATTCTAGTCCTTATAATCTGATACAAAGTGTCTATACTTGGATTTTTTTAACGGGCATTACAAACTTTTTCAAATAAATGTATTAAATCTTTCATTAGAATTTAATTCAGCATAATCATCGTTAACATGTAAAAATATTTTAAAACCAGAATTGTATTCTATAATGAATACTCACCACAGACTCTTCACTCTGAAGCTTTTATTGAAACAATAAAAATCCTTCATTTTATTATTACTTTTCTAATAAGCACAGCATCTAATTAAAGATTCTTTTCTCCTCTTAAAAGATTGAAATCCTACATTAGAACTACTATGATTTTTGATTGTTTGAATGTTTTAATTGTAGTTGGTGTAGAAAAAGAAGATGCTAGAAACGTTAACTTAAATGCAGCAGAATATGAATTTGTTTGACTGAAAGTTGAAAGATATACAAACTTATTTCTAAATAACTCTTAATTTCAAACTATAAATTGGTTATTGATCACTTACTTGTATTGTATCTTGCTGCTTACTTCAAATAAATATTTGTATTAGAAACATTATTTTTTGCCTATATGTATATATATATATATATATATTGTTGGTAACTGCATAATTTTTAGTTAAAGATTTGATTTAAAAAAAGTAGCTTGCTAATAACGTAAATTAAAAGAAGTACAAGCATTATTATTATGATGCTCTTTTGGAAGCATAAGGTTCTATTTTTATTTTGATGTTTCTTTTGCTATTTACTATTTTCTTTTTGTAGAGTTATTTTTTATCTCTAATAKTAAGGTTAGAAATAACTCCAGCATGTCTATATTTATTACCATTGTTATGACTTTGACCTGGTGTAAGATTTGGCAGTCCTGTTTTGAAACTGAAATGGCTCCCCTGCCTCATAGTTAAAAATTAAAGTATTTTTATTTTTACAGCTCCAGTAGGCACATTTAATCTACTAAATAAAATTTWAAAAAATGCATTTTGTTGAGATCAATAACATAAATCCATATCTAAAATGTTGAAAATGAAATTAAGTGAAAATAGTACCCAAATATA